AATACTTACTTTGGTTTGAGTTCGGCTAATGATTTACTAAAACCAAACGAACCGAACCTAACAAAAATGAAATGCCCACCCCTAGAGTTCTTTTTTTTCTGATAAACCGTGGGAGTTCTAAGCCTTTAGTTCGTCGTCTCTTCGTACCCAGAGTCAACTTTTAGATATTCCGATTTAAAGAATAAACCTCACTACCATAAAGATTTGAACTCGAAACACAAGAAAACCACCCCTTTTGTGTTATCACTTACGCACCACAAATTTGGTTCGGTAGAATTCATGCTATGTCATATTATTTTTACTACAATAATAATAATAGCACACCGTAACATAACATTCCATTATATATATCGTGCTTGCAGTCTGAAGATCTCGGAGATCTCCTTGCCATTATCATGCCATCAGCTAATAGAATATGGCATGTCGTGTCTGACACAGGCTCTTCCGTTTCCACAGAGACACATAGATTTGCCTGCATTATTTGTCAACAAAGAATGAAGAAGCCATAAACATCACCATTAGTTTGTACCATTGTTGATGGATTACTTTGAAGATCTTCCGTTAACGATGATGGAACTTGGTACATGAGCTGAACATCCTCGCTTTTGTTGCTGAGCGCAAGCTTTTCTTTCATAACTTCAACAAGCAGCATATATAGTTCTGTGTATCATGATACCAACGCATTTGTTATCCTCGTCAATTTTGAAATTTCACACTCTGCATTTCCTAACCCAAACACCTAAAGCGAGAATATAATAGTTGGTGAATTCAGATGCCGTAAGCTACATGGATCAAATCAAAACACTTAAGAGGCTAGTTTTTTTTAAGAATAGCAACTTAAGAATATGAAAAAAATATGTGAAAAGTCTTTTGTATTGATAAAAAGTTGCGGATCTCTCTTTAGAAAAATACATTGCATATTTATACATGTCTAAATCGGTCGAATAAACCTAAAATGTTTGGAAAATCTCCTAATTCTAAGGATTTTTCATTCTTTGCATCAATCTTTCATTTTTACCTTGAAAGTGTCAAGCTGGCCGAATATCGTAGACCTAGACCTAGTTCTCTTTTTTGGGCCAAACTCGCATTCGTGGGCCTAGTTTGTGTTCCTTTAGCAAAACTTCGAATTAATTTATATTTGGGTCGGATTTTAACGATTGGTGCTGAACCCGGTATCATCTCTAGTTATCTAAGTGTTTCGAACAACCACCCATCTACAAAAGAAACAACACAAATGCCATATATATTACTCACCATTTATGATTTTACCAGAACATAAACCAATAATTGCACACAATAAGGTAAGCCTTTCTAACCCCCTCTAAAAGCAAAAAAATTGGTTGTAAATAATGGTTGAATGTCCCAGATTGACCATTAAAGATCTTAACACAATTTGAGTAAATTTTATAATTCTTTCTTAAATTATTTTTTATTAATAATTCAGTTAGTTCAAATTTATTTAAGTATTTGTTTTTTTGTTAAAAGGTTAATATCATTATAAAATAAAAAGTAGATTTTACAATAAGTGAAACCTAAAATCTATACATCATTGCCAAAAAGAAAAGAAAAAACAAGGCTGTATAATTGGGGAGAATCTAGTGATCATTGTGATCATCTTAGCTACAATTGCATAAGATTACAAAACTATTTTCGTTGTCGTCTTGCCGAGATTGAGTTTCTCACCTCCCACTCAATTCCTTTGTAGATGGCATGAGCCGGGATGGAAATTTGATTATGTAAAACATTGTTGTGCTACTTCCCAAGGTGAAAAATCGTTGCTTGAACCGCCAACTTCCATAAAGTAGATGGAGCCCTCGGGAATTATTCCTAATCCAAAATAGAAGCTCCGACCAGGTTGTGAACATGCTAGCCGGAGGGTTTAGAACTGATAGCATCTGCCTCCAAACTTCTTTGTTAGAAACAAATGTTGTATGTTTTCCTCAAAACCATAACAAAGACAACACTCTTTAGGGACATT